CAAGAGATGAGCAAGTAAATTTAAGTAGTTTCCAAGTGGTAAGTATCTTGATTACCGAGGAGCAGTGGGATGCAAAACTTGGCCGGTGGAAATAAATGATTGATGGCTTCCTCTCACACTCCTGCCTTTATTTTTTCAACTGCACGGCTCATTATTCTGCTGCATTAATTTAAGCTTTCCTACTGTACTGAATTAAGGACTTACATTCTCTTATCACCCCCGTGGGACTCTTGATTGTTTATTTGTAGATGACAATAATGGTTTTTATCGATCCCCCAATGTGGAAGGTATAAAAAGGGCTATGGCTGATGGCCAGCTGGTACATAGTTAGTGCCGTGTGCATGAGTGACAAATTACAAGACAATATTTGGCCCCAGAGGACACCCTTTTAGAATTTTTTAAGCCATCTGATAATTATCACTGGGTCTCTCCAAGCTTCAAAGCACAGACAATTTCATGTAAGTCAGCTCGAGTCATTTTGTTGTTTTTATTGAACCTCAAAAGGTCTGCTTGGGTATGATTTATACTTCCTCGGTCCTAGTGTACCCACACAGCAGGAGAGTCTGGGGACGGTTCAGCTACAATAATTCCCAGAGCCAGCACCACCCAGGCCAGTGAGTTAGTCCCCTTAGGAGCCCAGGTCACCAGGGCACGCACTTGGAAGAATTCCTGAATTAACCTAGCAGTTGCCATTATTCCACCGCAAGCGTCATTATGTGGACATTGGCTCCGAATAATTTCAGAAAAACCACTTGATAGCCCTAGCATGTACTGTGAGTAGGAAACCTCACACAATTTCTCATCCCAAATATATCAGAGGCACCAGGGAAAGATGATGCAACTGTCTAATTAAGTGCTGTTTGTAGGACAGGGCACTTGGGCACTATGAGCTTCCCAGGCTGAAACACAGCTCGCTTAAAGAGTTTTGGGGCTAATTATTATGATCTGTCTACCCAGGGACAAAAGAAGTCATATTAGGCTTAAACATAAACAAGTATCAGAAATTAACAGTTGTACTCTAAGGTTCTGCTCTGAAAATTCACTGTTGCACTATCAGAAATGACTATGTGGGTTGGACCAGAATGAGCCAGGAGAGGCGGTTTTGCAAAGTAGTGGGCCATATGCCACACAGGAGATCCCCTCTTTATAATGTTATCTTGGTCCTTGACAGTTAGCAACTCCTAGAAGAAAATAACACACATAAGAATAAAACCAATTTTTTCTAACTTAGATTTATTTTATCTCTCACTCAAAGTAAGCTTTACCCTCAATACTATGGTTCAGTCCTGTCATTGCTGTTGAACAGCCACGAAGGCACCTTTCATGAGCAGAAGTGCGAAGGAGGTGAACACAGAGCTCCTCCCTCCAAAAGTTTAGTGACGATGACTACTGCCATTGCAAGGCAAAAACTTTATATAAAAATATATACCCCGGATATTTAGTGGCATGTCCATCACAGAAGTGGGCATTAAATGTGATCTGACTGACTGATGTTTTTGTTAATTATACATCCAACATGCTTGGAGCATGATACCATCAAATGCTTAAAGGTTAAAACAAATGGACTATTGAGGGTGACAATCACAGATTCATTTGATTTCAAAATTGGAAGAAACCTTAGATATGACAGTTCAACCACCTCATTTTCAAGACAAGGAAACTAAGATGACCCAAAGAGACTAAATAAGCTGTCCAAAGCCTCTCATTCCAGAAATGGCAGAGCTGGAAAGTGAAACCAGGCACCCTCACTCTCGATTCTGTACTGCACTGGATACCGACTCCTGTACTGCACTGGTACACACTCAGGAGAAACACGCGGGCTTGTGCTTTGTTGCACTGTATTGTGATCAATTGTTTCAAGACATGTGTCTCCCCCACCGGATCATGTGCTCTTTAAGAAAATATCCATCGCCAGTTTCTAGCATAGTCAGTGGCACATAATAGGGTCTCAATAAAGGTTCCTTGAAAAAAATAAATAAATGCATGAATAGGTGAGACCTGGTTTTTCTCATGTACAATCAAATGCTATAATTTTTAGTGATCTCTATCAGTGCTTGGTCAAGCAGGTAATGAAGGACAGAGAGAATGGAAAAGTAGAACAAGTCGCACGAGAGGGCAAGAGGAAAAAGGGTTCTACAATTCAGTAGGAATAACAACCACAAAAATGTAGTACATGGACAAAATTTCTGGATTCAGTTTGAGAGCTCTTTGTCAAGACTCTTTCCTCTTCTGATCTCTCCCAATTTTCAAATAAGGACTTTTAAGCAGATGGTGCTTTAAGCAGGTCCCATCCTTGCTGCTCCTCAGACGCCAGATGCAGGATTGACTGCAGGTCCCCTGTGAAAGCAAAGTTGCCCTTACGGGTATCTCACCTCCCTGCGGCACATCTTCCCACCTGCTTGGCACCCAGTCCCCGCCCATGCTGCCGCCACTGTTCCCGGGACGAAGGAAAGCACATGTAATGCATTGCAATCTTGTTTCTGGAATATTTTCCTTGTAGAAGACATGCCAGAAGACACAAAGGAAAGTACATATATTGTGGCACTTCAAATTCAGTGATAAGCAAGCAGAGGTAGTGGCTATAGATGCATATGTATATGGGCTGGGTTAATCTCTCCTTGCCAATCACCCAAAGTCAATGAAAACAGAGGTTAAAATACCCAGTTATCAACCCCCACTCTGAGTTTGTGTTGTTCCTGAAATGCTTGTATGCTGTAAGTAATTTGATAGTAAGCAGTGCCTGTTAAAAAAAAAAAGAGAGAGAGAGAGTCAAAGGATTCAGGGTCATAATTACAGCATGCTGAAGGCTGGGTACCGGAGAAATGCATCAGCAATATTGGACTACAGTGGGAGCAACTACTGGCTGGAGTGCTGCACCCGGAGAGTGGTTCTCAGCAGAAGAGCTGGCCGTGCTCCAGTATTCAAAGTCTAGATGTAGGAAATTTAGTCTTTTTTAGAAGTGGTGCTACACTGATGCCAAACAACCTGGGGTGAGCCAAATGCCCCTATGGGGAGAGACTTAGGCAGATCGGCAGTCATCTGTTTTGGGTGAATTGGGTCACCTTGGCAAAAGACAAGGGTGGAGATCCCACCTGTCATCAAACTTCCCTTGAACCATTTGGAACTTGGCAGACACCACCCCCCCCCATCAGCACTACATCTCCCCCTTCAGCTATTACTCTTCCCGTCTCTTCCTTAAACATACCAAGCACACTTACATATTTACGATTTTGCCCTTAGCATTTTCTTTTCCTGAAATACTTGTATATTGTCCGTTGAGCAAGTGACATCTGTCACTTATCACCACGATAAGTCCAACCCTTCTGCCCACTGCTTCTTGGAATCAGAGTTGCCAAGTAAAACACAACGCAAACAGTAGATGGAACAGCACTGTACTCACATAGAGAAGAAACAGAACAAGATCAGTGTTAGTGGGCATTGGTTCCCCATGGTCAGTAGGCCCTTCCCAGCGGCTAATGCAGGGCCATTGGCCTGCATGCAACCCTTTTGTGCCACACAATGAAGGACCCGTCCCCTTTTTTTAGGGAACAGATATAGCAGTGAGGTTGTCCAGGTGCCGTATGATACACATACACTTAAACAGAATAAAGAAGTGCACATTAAGCTAGTGAAATAAGTCAAAGAGAGAAAGACAAATGTCATATGATTTCACTCATATGTGGAATCTAAAAAACAAAATAAATGAGCAAACCAAACAGAAACAAACTTATAGATACGGAGAACAAACTGATGATTGCCAGACAGGAGAGGAGTTGGGAGACTGGGTAAAAAAGGTGAAGGCAAGAAGTACAAATTGGCAGTTACAAAATAGTCATAAGGATGTAAACTACAGCATAGGGAATATAGTCAATAATATTGTAATATCTATGCAACGTGCGTGCCAGGTGGGTATTAGATTTATTGGGAGGATAACCTTGTAAGCTATATGAATGTCTAATCACTATGCTGTACAACTGAAACCAATATATTGAGTCACCTGTAATTGAAAAAAAATTTAAGTCTGAAACAGGGTAAGATAGTCCCACACAAGGTGGAAAGTCCAGCACGGGCTGTGAGAATTCCTTATCTTTTAGTAAGGAAGTGTTCCAGGCCCACAGCCCATTCTTACGTGACCAAGATGTGGTCACAAGACTACACAAGTGAGCTTGTCTTTCCCAATATAGTCCACATGGCTTCCTTCCATTTCCCTAACCTCCCTCTCCCCTTTTCAAATCTTTGTTTCCATTATCAAAAAAAGCCTTCAATGGCCAGCCTTTATAACAAAGTCATCTCCAAATCCAATCCTCTGGTCTCCATGAAGACAAAAGCTTTGGTTGTTTTGATAACTGCTGTGTCCTCAGCATCTACAACAGTGATGGGTAGGCACATTGTAGGTGTTCAATAAAAACGTGTTGAAGGAATTGATAAGACAGGTCTTACAAAGGAAAAGTCTTGTCTCACGATGCCCGGAAAGCAGAGAAGGAAAACTTTTCAGATGCTTTCATAGACCAAGTCATTCTCTTACAATGCATCCAATTTACACTTAGAAACCCAACAAGCCTGAGAGAAGGTGATATGTCCAGGATAGCAGATAGCACTATTATCACTCAGCTCCCATCAGGGCTCCAAGCAACTTGCAGAAAACCTGTCTTCTGATATACGGCACTAATTTGTGTCTTACGGAAAATCAAACAAATTATTTTTCGCCGAAGGGAGCAAGATTATTTGACTTCAGATATTTGCCATACGGCTTCTCTGCCATGCAACATAGCTTCTAGGCTCAAGGTAGTAAGAGTGAAAGCATGCCCATAAATTATTCAGAGATAATTCAAAATGAGTGTGAATCTTTGACAGCTTGTCAAGTTTCCTGATGCTTTTTCCTGATAACAAGTGCTACGTTTTTCACAGAAAGTGGCTTGTTTCTCACCACACTTTATTGTTGTTCTGTGTATGTTTTCTGTGTTGTTTTGTTTTGTGTGTTGTTTTTGTTCCCCCCACAGAGTCCAGTCTGGCTCTTATCTCAGCACTGGGTGGTTTACCTTCATTCTGGCTATGGATGCCTGTTATGGCATTCACGTCTACGGGATGATAAATGACACCTACTGCAAGTAAGATCACAGGAAATTATTTTTATGCATCTCTAATTCTGATATCTTGTCAAAATATCACAATTTATTTTAATACCATAAATCTAAGAAACAGATAAAGCAACAATTATTTCCTGGTGTTCTTTGCTGACATGACATTTCATTGTCAGTGCATCAAGTTGTGACTTTTAGGAGTGATAAAAAGAAAAATATTTACCATAGCCTAATGTCAAATGTCAGAAGATACATTCTTCCCTTAATCAGTGGCATATCGGGGCCGTGTGGCTTAGAAATACAGAACAACTTTAGTGGTTATTTAATTTACAAAGCAAGTTTGTCATCTCTGCTATGCTAAGGACCTGATAGATGGCCATCTGCTCAAAGCTTATATTTGATCATGAAAGACAAAATGTCCTAGAGCCTCAGAGAAGCTGGTAACTCAACAAGAATTTCTGGAAATAAGTGAGTAATTTGCCAGATCCTCATTTAAAATGGGTGTCTTTATCCACATATATCCCCACTGGTGGGATAGTTTCTAATTAGATAATAAATTTTAAAACCTTCCATGCTTCATCAAGGTAATGAAATATATTTCTCTACCAACAGTTGGTACACTATAACTCAGAGAGCATTTTAATCATATTTTCAAAATGGTAATGAAGCCACAATCTTCATAGTCAAGTATTTCTACCCTAACTATAAGCATATTGGGGCACAGATGAACCAAATATCTTACTCTGAAAAATCACAAAGCTTCTTCAAGCTCAGTAAGAGCATCAGGCTGTGGAAAGTTTGCCTCCATTACGTGCCATTTCCTCCTTCAAAGGATAGCTATATGTTTAAATGAAATTGGTGTGATATATAAATTTTATTTGATTTATTAAAGCACTAAGGGCCTGGTACATCTTCCTAAAAGCTTTTATACATAATAGTTTTAACTGAGTTCATGGACTAGAATCATGCATAGGTTTGTAAGTAAATGCAGTGACGGAGCACATAATGGGTTCTTGTAAATGAATGCTCCATTCCTCATCTCAATCTTTCTCTCCTTTTTTTTTTTCTTTTCTAGGACAGAAGGGTATAGAAAAGTCCCCTACCATTACTACGAACAAGGAAAAGATGAGTGTGATGAATATTTTCTTCATGAACATGCCCCATATGGAGGCCATAGGTTCATCACTGAAAAGAAAGTATTTGCTAAATGGGCCAAGGAACACAGGATAATATTTACACACCCAAACTGGACAGTGTCTTGATACTGGTTTTTCTGATCTTGCCACACCACTTGACATGATCACGTACTGCAACTGTGATGCTAAAGATGCTATGATGATGATGGTGATGATAAAGATAACAATGATGACCGAGACTCTGTACATTCTCAGATATGGATGATGACTCTGCCAGAAATTTTAACTTGGGATTCCGTGCAGGGTGGTTATTCTCATTACATTATTTCTAAAGGTTCAACCATTACATGTTGCACTTTAAAATTTAACTGGAATTGCAATGAAGGCCAATAACATAACAGCAGTGACCTAAGAAATGAGAAGATTATCCTTCAAATAGCTTCCCAGAATTCTTGAACAGTGAATAGCTTCCAAAAGCCACGGGATTCATCCTCATGAGGTGAGGTTATTGACTCTGTGGTCTCTTGAACATGAGCAGCTCCACCATCTTGAAGAATGTTTGATTGTCAAACACTGACCCAAGAAATGCTATCTGAGTACAAGTATTTTACCACAGTTACTAGTTAGGCTGAGGGCAGGAAAGGCATCTCTTCTGATTGACCATCTTCCTACAGTACTTCCTACCCATAGGATGACTTCACTATCTCAAACAATTAAAAATGGACCAAGTAGCAAATCTTGATGAATTTCCATTCCCACCACTCCATTCTTACTACCCCAAACAATATAACTAAACATGCTACTAGAATGATCTATATTAATGTTTAGTCATTTTGGGTTAAGTCCTAAATATTTCAGATGGCTATTTAACATGTAAGAATTCAGCACTGTAATAACATATACTGTGAAAACATTTCTTTAACAAAACCAAAAGGGTTTACTAACTTTGCTTCAACTTTCAACAACACAAAATTACATGCTTTTTAAACTCACAAAGCAGGGAAAGCAAAGCATATTTTTACATCAATTTGTAGCTTACCATACTTCATAATATATATTTGTATATTCGAATTTCTATTTTATAGGCCCAAGGCGTGTCTCTCCATACATTACATTATCATTGCCAAGTGCCAACTGTCAGACATGGAGAGGAAATGATTCCTTGTATTAAATCTGGCCAGAACTTTTGCCTTCTTGGGGTTTATTTCCCCCAGAGTAGATCAGTTGTTATACCATAATAACAACAGTAATAATGATCTTAATGTCCAAAGTGCTGTGTCGTTTAGAGTCCTTTCACATATGCTGTCCCATGTGATTCCCATGACCACCCCATTTGTCCATCGCCTACCCATTCTGATATCTCCTTAGCAGATGATCCATAATCTGTTGATTGCTCTGATATATTGCTCCCCCTTGCTAATATTTGTATAGGATAGCATTTATGTAGACTAGTCACCAATTGATTTCAGTGCCAAATACAATATATTATATCAGAATTACTCAAAAAGTATCACAAGGATGATCTTGGCCATAGATTGAAAACATAGGTAATTTTGATTTTTTTTTTTTCAATGACTGTTTAGGTGGAGACAAGATGAGGAAACAGGGACAGTAGGAGGGAATGAAAGCAGAGAAATAGAGTTTCTTGTTCCAGGCTCGAGATGACTGTTCATAACATACTTATTCCTCATTAAATATTAGAGGGTTGATCTGCTGAGAGGCGGAAAACATCCTTGCAAATTATTCAAAAGACAAAAGCCAGGCTTAACTTACAGAATGTTCTGGAAGTGGGAAGTAAGGGTGCATTTCACCTCAAGAGCACTTTGCTAGTCTTTACCAGGGCTGAGTCTCATGATTAGTTTTCATAATTGTGGGCCATCTTGGGCAAAATCCTCTTTCCTGCTCTCTTCTGTCATTTCAATGCACCAGTACCCATATCCACAGCAATGACCAGGTGCCACTTCCATTGCTGAAACTGTTATTGTTGTCATTCTCTTGTTACTCCTTATGTGGTTTTTAGTTCTATGTGTGTTAGTTGTTTTGAGCTAATGATGGCTAGAAATGTCCACTCCAAGAAAAATAAACAGATACAAATGCTGAAATTGTAATAAGACTGTCTTTCCCGCCTTGGAATACAGAAGTTCCAGTTTTAAGTAAAAAGGAGCCCTTGATTATCAGAATGCTTCAGGGAACAACACAATTTATTTATTTTCTGGTCAATGGAGGGCCAACTCTACTTGTTGTAGACTTTACTTAATGAGAAACCTCTGAAAACTTCCTTGCTTTCCTGCCACACTGTATTTTTCTCTGAGGGAGACTTTTGCAGTGCCCCGTGTCCCTCATTCTATGGCAGTAGCTTTTGTATGTAGAATAGGCAGTGGGTATTTTTTGGTTTTTTGGTTTGTTTGTTTTTTGAGGGACCACAAGGCCTTCCCTTCCCTCTTTTCCCTCTCCCCCCCTCCCCTTTCCCTTCCTTATCCATTTTTCCCTTCCCCCCTTCCCCTTCTTTGCCATTTTTTCTTAACTAAACCCCAGCTCTACACTTTTTAAGGTTGTTGTTTCTTTTTTTTTTCTTAACATGAGAAAAAGCACATTATTCTCAATTTGGAGACCTAATTAAATGATTTCCAGTATAATCAGCATTTTGAAAGACTCATACAACTTATTTTTCTCTGTATTCTTTTATTACTATTATTTTATTATTATTATTATTATTATTATTTAATCTTTACCCAGGACATGCTCATTGACTTTAGAGAGAGGGGGAGGGGGAGAGAAAGAGAAACAGAGAGAGAGAGAGAGAGAGAGAAACATCATTGTGAAAGAGAAACATCGACTGGTTGCCTTCCACATGTGCCCAAAGACTGGGGACCAAACCTGCAACACGCATGTGCCACAACTGGGAACTGAACCTGAAACCCTTCCGTATAGGGACGACACTCCAACCAACGGAGTCACACAGGCCAGAGCTTTCTCTGCATTCTTAATATTCTCTGCTTCCATTTCCTCTTCTTCTTTACCCTCAGTTTCCTATTCTAGTGGAAATACAAGATCTAATTTCTCCCATGTTGAGAAGAAATTTATCTCAGACTTACTGATAGAGAAGAGAATGGTTAAGGGGCAATTGAAGAGAGTACTTGGCCATGCAAATTTCTGGTCAATTCCACAGATACCAGTCACCTGAAATAGATTTTATCCAGCGTCAAAACATTGGAAAACTTAACTGAATTCGCTCATCACTGATGTGTATGTATCCCAGAAGCTAATTAACATCTGTAAAAAATAAAAATATTTCAATACCATCCAAGGCTTTAGGCAAATGGACTACGAAACTGCTACAATTGCTGAAATCTGTATAAAGACATGCCAGCTAAAAATAATAATTCTTTTGAATCCTGCAGAATCCTAGAACAAAGCAAGGAAGTTTAAAAAGAGGTTTAGAATGAACGTTTGAATCCTTTTTAAGTTAGATTAGTGATAAGTAGTAATGATTCATAATATTATGATGGTAATATAAATAAGAAACTTTTTTTGAATCTATGGTTTTACATTGTTATCAAACCTATCAAAGAAAAACCAACAGGAGGAATGTTTGTATATATGTTACATAGAGTCCATTTGTGTGTGTGTATGAAAGCATATATGCGATCCTATATTTTTCACTGATGTGTGTGAATCACAGAAAACCTATTTTAGACTTCATCTAAAATTTGTTGGGTTACATTTTGAATCCTGATGCAACAAAGACGGGAAAAATCAAAATTAAATGTACTGATTGCTAAGAGTACATAAAATCATATTCCTTGGCTGGCCAGAGAATAGAGCTAGAGAAGCTGCTAAATCTAGCACTGAGAACACAATTAGATGTCACAGTTGCCACAAATCAAGCCCATAAGTATAGCAATCTGTATTGTAGGCTCTGCTGACTGCAGCTCAGCTAAAGTCACATCGAAAAACATTACATCAGACTTCATTCACACTGAAGTCTGTGTCAATGTTCATTCACAATGAACGCTGGTCCACCTATTCAAATAAGCCTGTCTTTAGTGTATGCAAACTCAGATTTGCATGATTTTTATATGGCTAGAGAACTGTGACCATTGTGAAGAAAGAAAATTATATAAAGAGACTGCTCTTTGAGGATTTGGAATGAATCAGCTGATGTGAGGGCAAGAGTCTGAACTGGGGACTTTGCTGATCTTTCCAAAAGTAAAAAGCTGTCAAAAGAAAATCACTCATTATTTCCTTAGGAAAAAGACAACACTAAAGCACTTCACCTGGTGGTGTTAATTGGATGCTAATTAAAAGCTCAGTTTAATTTTAATAAGCAAGAAAATATAATCAGATGGCTTACTTTTTTTTTTTTTTAACAACATACCCATCGGGGGTTTAATGTGGCATGTAAAACGCAAAGAACAAACTATGTTGTCCAGTGTCAGTGTCTGCATGTCTTAGCAGAACAAATGAGTTATAGTTCCAGGGCTGTGAGGGGGAAAAATGCTTTGCCCTTAACAGAATTTTTAAAAGGCAAGACTTCATCATTAGATACGTCCATCTAATGACTGAAGGAGCCAGTACTAGCCTTTGTAAGAAGGCTTGACTTTTAGAGCTGCAAGGGGCTTCAGAGACCAGCCAATCCAACCCGTCAATCTTCTAGTTGTGAAAACAGACCAATACAGGTGAAATGACTTACTCGTGCGTGAAAACAGACTAATGACAGACTCATGTCTCCTTCTCTAGCACTTTTGCTATGACTTTTTTTTTTTTTTTTAGCACAGAATAGGAGCTGGAAAAATGCATAAGTGACTTAACTGGAAGAGTCTATTTCTAGAAACCAAGGGCTCCAATTTGTGTTGATACTATTCCCAATCAGAGAAATCACCATACAGAAGTGTAGAAATATTCACATAATTGAAGGATCCTATCCCAGTACTTGTCAATATTCTCTATTATCTCCATTTGCTGCTAACACTAAGCCATGTTGTATTGTCACGAAATTCCAGGACTAGGTTAAACAATGTAAAAGTGAGTTTCTTAGTTTTTTGGTTATTGAGGATGATGAAGCCGTTGATACTCCTAAGAGCTGCAGAGCATGGAGGTTGCCTGGTGCGACTGGCAAGTCCTATGGTGCATTATCCCCAGAGCCTAAGTATTTCATCCCCTAACCAATTCAGCTGCCTGGGCTAGTGAAGTAGTCTGCACTGGTCGGTGAAATATTAGCCTTTGTTTCACACTCATCTCTGCACTGCACGTGATCTTTGAGCACAGATACTCTTCCAGAAGGTAAGTCAAGGCCCCAAATGCCCCACAAGACTCAATTATCATGCAAGATCAAAAGGCTTCTCTTTACAGTCCACTCGTATGATGCTGTTAGAAAAGGAAAATTTGAAACTCAATGCACTAGGCTCTGAAAATGGTTCCTAAGGCTCAGAGACAGCAAATTGTTTTGCTGCTTGTTTTTGCTGAAACTTAGAGAAACCACCAGAGTAAAATCCCATATAAATTGCTAAGGCATCAAGTCAGAACTGTCCTTGGGCATTGTAAGGATGCAGAAAACCTCATTTCGCTTTTCTTTTTTTAAGTTCTCTACTTCTTTTTTCTTTTCATAATAGGCACGATTCGTTTATGGAGTGAAAAGCTCCTTTTGCTCCACAGTCACTTCTCTTTTTGTTCATGCTTTGGGTACTTGAGAATATAAAAGTTCACTTTCATAAAAGTGAAGGAGATCTTGATCAATAAATAGCCAACTGTTAAATTCACATATTTGCCTATAAAGTGAGCAGTTTCACCTAAGAAACTCCAAAGGGACCAAAACCAAGGCATTCCATGGTTCCTTGTTACCAAACCTACAACGTATTAATTTCCTGTGTTTAACTTTGTTGTCATTGCTACAGAGTAAATACCCATTTCTAGTACATAGAGTATATTTTATGCTTCACTCATTTTCCTGAGTTCACACAATTTCTGCTGTAGTCTCTCATTCACTTTAAAAACCTGTAATCTTCATCTATTTATAGAAGAGGCTGTAAATGCATAGTTGTGCATTGGGTAAGTTTTTTTTCCCTGGCATCAGATTGCTTTATTTATAGGTACAACGCTTTAGAATAAAGCTTACTAAGTGGCAAAGGGCTCCTGCTATATTTTCGTTTGCTTCACTTTCGCAGGACAGCTGAGGAGATGTAAACAAAGCCAGAGTGGGAGAGTGGGGCGGGTGGGGAGGAGAGTCAGTAGACTCAATATCCAAAGCAGAAAGGCTTCTAGGAAACTGCTGCGGACAACGACAAGAGTAAATGTTTTCCACAGTAGCTACCTGATGCTGAGGGATATTTACTTCCTCGCTGTGTCAGACTTGATAGCAAAGTGCAGTTAGCACATAAGCTGCTTAAAATAGAGACATCTTCATTCTTTCCTCCATCACACCCCTCTGAGAAAACTCAGCATTCCTTCAGTTAAACTCCATAAATGGAGAGTTTTTCATTTTACAAATCAGCTTACAGTACTCTACCAAACTCTATAGGAGATGCCTATTTGGATTAAAATGAGAATCTTTTTGGGGGATCAAATAATCATAAGTAATACTTATATACCAGGCTTATTGAAGGACTGTATGCCTCATTTCATCCCCTCAAATACTCTATGAGGTAGGTAATGCTACTACTGGCATTTCACATACAAAGAAACTAAATCAGAGTGGTTAAGCTGTTTGCACAAGGTTGCACAACTAGTGATGGAACGAGGATTTTAACCCAGGCAATTTGACTCAGAATCCATACCTAGTTGGGTCAGGCTAATAGATGTAACCAACAACTCCAAAATTTCAGTGGCTTAACAGAATAAGGTTTGTTTCTCTCTAAAACCTAAGTCCCATGCAGATGTTCCTCTCCAACCACCTTGTCTCCAAGGATGACTCGACGGTGCAGGCTCCTCCCATCACGTGGCTTTTCTCCTCTGCATCCTTGGATTTCTCTATTCGGCCTTCTAGTTAATTGGGAAAGAGCATGGGGGATTCTGTGTTGGAGGGGTTTGCGGACAAGTCAAAGAGTGTTCATCCCACCGCGTTCCACTGGCCAGGCTCAGTCACGCGGCCTGGTAGTGAGATCAG